AGTAAAATCACTTTTTAATCTATTCTACCGTTTAAGTATTTAAACCTGATGTTCCTTGGTGTAGCATTTGCTGCTTCTGTGGAAGAATGCATAGTTAATAAATCACCATTGTTAATTAGTTGTAGGTTTCAGTGGGGCTCTTAATGCATTTTTTGAATTTTTTGGAGGATTATTTCTTTTATTTAAACTGTAATGACCCTTCACTCATGGTTAGCAGCTGAAAGTATTAAAAGATGAACATTGACTGAGCTTGTAGAATTTATAGGAAAAACAGTAATTCAAGAAAGTCAGAGAAGGCCAAAAAGAATGCAACATTGAGACCACCACCATTTAGATATAAAGTGATTTCCTTCTATAAATATTGCTGCATGTATGAGAATATTTGATATGTGAATATAGTATGTACATCCAAGACACTTGATAAATGTGTGTGCAGAAAAGAATTATATACATGTACATACATATCTAATACAAGGATGAGAAAAACAGGTGGAATAAAATGCTAATTAAAAACAATTCTGAAGAAATAATTCTAAAAAAAAATATAGACAGGTATTTTATATCATAGCTCTTCCCTGTATTTTAAACACCTAAAGTATTAAAATTTTATTACACAGCTTTATTTGGGATCTAATTCATTTGCATTTATAGAGATATTTTATTTTTTTAGCTATCTCACATATAAAAGCAACTGACATTTTCGTTTTTTGTTTACTTTACCTAGTGTAAGAAAATGGTAAGTTGAATTATTCTCCCTTTATAATGTTCCGATAGCAAATGCTGTGAGTAAAAATAAATAAATAAAGTAGCCAGGTAACAAGATCAGTGTCCCAGAGGAAACTTTTATTTTATTTACTTTTTTTTTTTAAGATGGAATCTCACTCTGTTGCCCAGGCTGGAGTGCAGTGGCACAATCTCAGCTCATTGCAACCACTGCCTCCTGAGTTCAAGTGATTCTCCTGCCTCAGCCTCCTGAGGGGCTGCGATTACAGGCATGTGCCACCATGCCCAGCTAATTTTTTGTATTCTTAGTAGAGACAGGGTATCGCCACATTGGAAAGACTGGTCTCTAACTCCTGATCTCTAGTGGTCTGCCTGGCTCAGTCTCCCAAAGTGTTGGGATTACAAACATGAGCCACTGTGCTCAGCACCCCCAAAGGAAATAATTTCAGAAATAAAAGCTTGTTCTAGTGTGGACTCTGGCAATGTCGGTTACATTTTCCTTGGGCAATTTATGTGACCATTCTAGGTGCTTTTTCTTCACTTTCTCCTTCCAGGCTTGAGCGTCCTTTATCCCTGATGTGGCAATCAGAGGGTTCTTTCACATGGTGGGTACCCTTGCCCACATATGGTCTTCTTGCTCCTATGTTCCACGACAAATAATGCTTTTGTCCCTGATGTTAAAGGCCCGATACGTTCCCTGTGTCTCCCCCAAACCCAGGGTGTAGATTTTCCTTAAATTCCTTTCTTTTCTCTTAATGTTTAATTCCCAAGCCATGTTTAAGTAAGTTTCCTTATCTAGCTATTGTGCCAGGTGTAGTCCACACCAGAGTCTGGACTGTCTTGAGTCCAATGGTGCAAGCTTCTTCAAGTGAGGGTGCTGTGTCACTGTTTTTGTATGAAACCCAGACTCTTCATGTGTCAATTCAATGTGAGCAGTGTTTAAATCAAAGGGCACATGTTTTACTCTATGAATATTTTTAACGTTTTATGTGTACATATATGTTTGCAAAACAGATATGTTGCCAATATTTAAATATTAAAACATTTCAAGTAAAAATACCGATTTGCATTTTCTTCTTGAGGACTCAGAAAGCCTTGGAAGTGCTTGGCTTGCATTTCCACATGACAGATATTGGCTAGAAAATTTACTCATTGTGTGCACCCTGCAGTTTCTCCCTCAGAAATTTCTTCTTTCTTACCTGAGGCACACAGTAGCTTATGAAGAAAGGAAATTTGGAAACCCTGTTTTAAAGCGAAGGTGGATTTTGCTTATCACCTTCATGCTGTTAGTTGACTGCTTCCAGATTTTCTACAGATTATGATTGTGGAGATGAGGGCAGGAGGCATGTTAGGAATTGATTGTTTGATGATAGCTCACCCTAACTTTCATGCTGTTAAATGCATTGCTCAATACCCAGCAGAGGAAAGAGTTCAGGAGCTGTACACTAAAAAAGGACTGAAATAATTGTGCAAATTTTTAGTGATAGTCCGGAAAGAAATGGATTTTTACATTGTCAAATTTAACTGAAAGCCCTTCTATTCAAGTGTAGTTTACAGACAACTTAGCATTAATATTTGAGAGAGAGAGAGAGAGAGAGAGAGAGAGAGAGTGTGTGTGTGTGTGTGTGTGTGTGTGTGTGTGCGTGTGTATGTGTTTTAGAGATAGAGTCTTGTTCTGTCATTCAGGCTGGAGTGCAATGGCACTATCATAGTTCACTGCAGCCTCCAATTCCTGGGCTCAAGTGCTTCTCCTGACTCAGCCTCTCAGGTAACTGGGGCTACAGGTTATTATTTTGATAATAATAAAAGAGATTGTGACTCTTAAAAATTAGATTCACTATTGATAACACTGAATCCAGGTCACATACTTAAGGAAAACCAAAGAGAGAGTTAAGGATTACAGGCAAATAAGAATGGGTAAAACAGAAAGCGTGGAGTATGTTGTGGGATTTTGTTGTTGCTGTTGTTTTTAATCTTAAATTACTAAACATCATATTGGAGATTAGCAAGGAAGCAAAAATGAGTTTGGAGTACTTCTTTTACAGTTAAGCTTTGACAGACTTATGATTCACACCTTGGAACACATACTATACAATCAAACCCTTGCTGAGATACTCTGCTGCCTGTTGGATAGATAGATGGGCCTGTAATGGAAACAAATGAATGTTTTGGTGATGTTTTCATACCAGAACAGACAGAGAAAATAAAATTCCATTAACTATTAAGCAGCATGCTGTTATCTCCCTGCTTTAGAGACAGATGTAAAAATCTCATGTTTCAGGGATTGCGTGGGGTTCCTGTGTGCTGGAGAAAGATACCCCAGAGTGGAGAAGCAAGCAATTTCTGTCTGTGATGCTCCTTCCAAAGGCCAGGGTACTCTGTTCCACTTTTGCTTACTTCTCACCTCTTCTCCTGCCTTGGTTTTGTGCACTCATTGCAACCACTTTTTTCTATGCTTGCTTTGCTTCAACATCTCAGTTACAGAAACCAAATAATAAACCTACCTCTATCTTGTAATATGGAACAAAAATTATGCTGTTGTTTAAAAAAGTATTCATGAATGTTTGTAGAAGTCAAAATAGAAGCACATTTTAACTGGTGTGAGAGCTCCTTTTCTTTCTCTCTTTTGAAGAGAATGTAATTGTGAAACCAATTCACCAGAGATGTGTGATTCAATACAGATCATACCGAGGCCCAGTTAAAATTTAGCTTTACCTTAATCTTAAGAAGGCAACCATTATAGACACTTAAAAATAATGAAGCTACATTGTTAAAAGAAAAAAAAAGTTCTGTAGTTTAGAGTTTTTATTTTTTCAGTTTGGCTTCCTGACATTCTCAGCTTAGATGACTCATGAGGCATTTTGAGGATACATATAAAGTTGTAGACAGGATAACAAAATAGCTTCCCATAGTCAAAGTTTTTTAGAATTTTGGTCTTTTGACATCTTTTTGGTCCATATATTCACTGACTTGGGCGCTTCATATCCTTATAAATATAGAGTCCTCTATAAAATACATGATCGTGACAATAACAGCTTTATTCTTGTGCTAATTCGCCCAATACTGGCTATACTTTTAAATGCTTTTTTTTATACATACCCCTACACACCTATATAATGTCTTCATTGTTAGTCAAGAAGGAGTTCATTCTGCAGCCTGGGCAACATAGTGAGACCCTATCTCTGCAAAAAATAAAAAAATAAAAGTAGCCAGCTACTCAGGAGGCTAAGACAGGAGGATCACTTGAGCCCTGGAGGTCGAGGTTACAGTGAGCTGTGATTCCAACACTGCACTCCAGCCTGGGCAACAGAATGACACTATGTCAATCAGCAATATCTGATTTAACATATTATTTAATGAATTACCCATAGATAGCCCCAAATCTGTTTATTCTGCCTTAAGACATTTTTGGTGCATTGATTCTTTTCTTTTACTTTCCTGTTTCTTTCTTTATTGGAGATGGTCCCATTCCCATTTTTGTCTCTATAAAACTGATAATAAAGAGAGTAATCATATCTCCAATGAATCTTTTCTGAATCTGTAAAAATATATTCTAAGAGTTCGTATCATTTATATAGTTTTTCATATAGTCTCAATTTATCCTAATTTTTTAATTGTAAATATTAGAAATGTCTACATATTCAGACTGTGGATTCATTTAGATTCAAATTTAAGAACTGTGACCTTGAGATGACCCCTAAGAACAGAAGTTTTTCATTGTAGTTTCAACCAGAATGGTGAAATTGTTGCCAAATTTAGTTAGATATTAATCAATGATGATATTGGCAAATGCGTATTTAGCCATGCATTTTTTTGTTTTTCTCTAGGTTTTATATTTATAAGACTGCTTATAAACAAGGATTTTCTAAAACTATAAAAAACAAATATACAATCAAGTTTCTTAGGAAAACAAAGAGTAAGAGGAGAATTTCTGTTTCCAAAATTATAGGCAGCCCTAAATGCATTCATGGTGTGCCTGTATGTGTGATAAGATTGCAGCATCTAACATCAGTTAGATTCACTGAGAATCTGTTCCTTTCAACATCAAATAGCCATCTTCAGAACCAGGAACTCTCTTGATTCTTCTATTCGTTCAGTAACACTAAACCGATGTTATTTTTTGGTTTCCTATGTCTCTTTTCTAATACTTTTGGCTCCCTCTCTAGTCTTTTATCTCCTTCCCATGGTTTTGTCCATGAAACCAGAAGATCTTACTACCTTTCCTCCCTGTATGAAATTCAGATCTAACATGTAGCAACCTGCTTTTTCTTTTCCAGATTCCTGTCTTGGTCACACAGATAAGTTCAACCAATCACCCAGTGAAAGTCGGACTGTCCGATGCATTTGTCGTTGTTCACAGGATCCAACAAATTCCCAGTAAGTAGAAGAAGGGCAGTCACAATGAGTGAGCCTCTGTGGGGTAAATTTAAAGGAGATTGATCTGAAGAAGATGTACCTGAAGAAAAAAAAAAAAAAAACCAGCTAATTGATTAGCTGATTGATGCTTGTTAATTCTCTTGTTTGGGTTATAATTCCTGTTGGACTATCTCTGTCATCCTTGAACTAACTCAGGTGAAGAGAAATTAAATAGCCAAGCCAAGAATGTGTAGTTTTGGATTTTTTTTCTTTCTTTCTTTCTTTTGATTTGGGGTCTTAGTCTGTCACCCAGGCTGGAGTGCAGTGGTGCAGTCACAGTGCACAGTGGTGCAGCCTTGACTTTTCAGGTTCAAATGATCCTCCTATCTCAGCATCCTGAGTAGCTGGGACCACAGGCATGCACCACCATGCTCAGCTAATTTTTTAAATTATTATTATTGGAATAAATGAGGTCTTGCTATGTTGCCCGGCCTGGTTTTGAACTCCCTAGTTCAAGTGGTCCTCCTGCCTAGGTCTCCCAAAGGGCTGGGATACAGGCCTGAGCCACCATGCCTAGCTAGATGCCTTGGGATAGTTGGCTTGGCTAAGCAGATACAGTTCTTATATTAATAAGAATGACATAGGACAGTGACAAATTATTTGATTGATAGGCATATGACTTTTCATATATGTTTGTCTTAAGTTTCTGAGCAAAACCACAGCGTTGTGCTATCTTACATTTAATGTATTTGTGTAAAACTGTTTGAGAGTCTAAAGGAAGATGAAAGAAAAAGTACGAATTTAGGTAAATAAAAATCTGGGTGGAGCTGTACCTACCACCAGAGAAGATATGTATTTTCTTTAAATTATGTTTGCCTATCTAGTCTGGTTTACATTTTGTAGAATAAAAAGGGATATGTTACTTTGGACAACTGTTTGTTGTATTAGAAACTAAAATGCTAACTGCATTAGCCATTCTGATCCTACGAAGAGGCATCTGTTGAAAGCTTCTGTTTTTTGAATCTTCTTCACTCCAAAAGCAGTCCTGAGAGATACTTTGCTGTGGAAGTACTTGGAGTTGGGGTCAGGGGTGTTTGTGTCCTATGTGTTCTTATTTAAAGAAATGGGAGATAGGAAAATATATCTCAGGATGAGATCATTTTTCTTTTGTGTTGAAAGTTCTTTTTCTTTTTTTATTTCATTAGAATGGTAATTTATCACATGCACATGCTCTTTGGTCATGACTTGAGGTGATTCTACTGAATTATGTCAACTCTCAAATATAGACAGCCATTGGAGTGAAAGCTATACTTTTTAAAGCAATGGATTAGCAGAAACATTATAAGGTTTATCTTACAACTGTAAGATATCTTAAAACTGGTTATTTTAAAACTGAATGACATTCATACATGATGGTACTGCTTGGTGAAGGGCATGGGCTTTCTCCTTGTTAGCTGAGAATTTGTGGGAGGCAATATTCAAGAGAATTGTTAAATTAAAGCAGATTTTCCAGAAACTAAATTGTACTGTGAACAAAGCAAGGATGTATTAGTATGTGTAGGCAACATAAAGGCATCCTGACAAGCTCTTAAACAAGAGGCCGAACCCTGGGACAGCTGAAGTTGGCTTCTGTTTGAGGACGGCTGTTCTCACATTCTTTCTTTCAGAGTTCTTAAATCAAGCATGGCTTGAGTCAATTATTTCACGAGTGAAAGGACATACTAGTTTTAGTTTATTTCTTGGTTCTTTTTTTATTGCTGAAAAAAAAATTATTTGCAGCTTGCTCAGCAGGGCTTTCAGTCCATATTGTTCTTCTGGTATATTATTGCTTAAAGAAAAACACCAACCAAAATATAAGTTTTTTTTACAAATGTATTTTAATATGCAAGTATTATATTGGTATATTCCCTATTATAAAATTGTCGTTAGCTATCAGGGCCCTAAAGTGTAATTGTTCATGCCTTGTTGTGCTACAAAAGGATAACTATTATGTGTTGGGGGAAAAATATTTTCAAATATAAATCTCAGTGAATAAATTGGCAAAATTCATATGAATTTTTAGACCAGATTATGTCTAAAGTTTGGGACTCAACAGTTATCTAAAATAACTCAAACTTAGAGTTCAGAGAAAAGCTTCCCTCATACAGTTTGCATACTGGAATAGCAATCACATGTCCTGTTATCCTTACTGTTCCAACCTGAGAAAATTAACCAAGAAGGAATGGAATATTTGGGTCTCTAGTTCTGCCGTTGCCACTGTTAGATGGGACCATATTTATGCAAGAAAATTCGAATGGCTATGTTCTACTTAAAAATCATTTTGGGAACAAAAAATTTTATCTCCTTAAAAGTATCTCCCACATTTATAAAGCATAACTGTGTCTGTTACATGAGATTCTGTATAAAAGAGATATATGGTTGCATTGCATTCTCAGCTAACAAAAAGCACATCTTTATGCCAGAGATTAGGATAACCCAAGATTAACACAATACAAATTATACAAATATATTTCTTTTGTGAGAAATAAGTTGATTCCTACAGATCTGTGTTACTTATTCAACAATCAGAATTTAGACCAATGTAAGTTTTTTTTCAAAATTCAGTTCCCTTATTTAGCAACACTCACTGTTAAGAATGGTCTTCGTAGGAAATTTAAATACTTTGCCTCTGTTACCTTCCCCTCCCCCCACCACAAGAAGATTTAGGGAACAAATGATTATTATTCTAAGTAACGAGTAGTTTCATTTCTTCTGTATTCCAAGGTGTGTTACATAGAACCTTGTTCTCATAAGATCAGTTGTCTATTCTTTTGATCATTTTGGTTACATAGGTTGTAGAACCTTTGGCTTCATGTAGCCATGGAAACATGGGAATGTGAGCTCAAGCCTGGAAAATAGTTTTTCCCAGTAGATCACCATTACTGTACCCTTGTTATCAGATTTAGTGAAGATTTGGTAAAGCATTCAAAAATCTGTAAAGCAATTTTAATTTATTTATTATTAAATGTCTCCCCATTCATTCTTCCTAACATCAACAACAACAACAAAACACTTGTTTTTCAGTTTTTAAAGACCTCCAAATAGTTTCAATGTATTTCAATAATTTTAATGTAACTTTCAAGCATAATTAATTAAAGTAGCTTTTTTTCTTTCAAAAAGGATCAGGTGAGCTGATAGTTTAACTATCAAAGACAATTCAGGCATTGTTAGTAAATTGATAAATCCTTCTGAGTTTACAAAAGAAATACCTTTATCCCATCAAAAAGAGAGAAAAAAGTCTATGGTAAAACAAAGGCTTATGTTAAAAGAAGGCGGCAATTACAAGTAAAGAAAGTATAAGGAATTTGATTATTGGTCATGAAATGTTAAACATTTTATTTAACTCATATAACTTTTTTTCTATATGAAAGGAACATTTCAGTACCTAAAATGCAATGTGAATACACCATGCATTCAGCGATACTGACTTAGATGTCACTGCCAAGCCCCGGTGCCCATCAGAGTGGAACCACTGATTTTCACTAAGAAATACGTTGACAGTGTGTCTCTGGTACTCCAAAGCTTTCTGACTATATCGTTGTGTGTTATTTTATGTCTCCTAATAAGACTTGTGTCTGTCTGTCTGTTTGTCCATCTGTATGTCTCTAAATCACTGTTTTTCATAAAATGTATTTGTAAAACTTTAGAAACAGAGAGAACCATAGAGATCAGCTAATTCAGTATCCACAGGTACAGCTATGAAAAACTGATCTAAGTACAGCACTGACTTTGTTCATTTCAGAAATAAGAACATAAAAATATACTTATGATTAGAAGGATAGCACATTATAATTCTGAGTAATTTATAAATTAACAGGAAACTCAAAGATGAAAATTTAAATTACCTAGAAATCTACTACTGAGAAATAGCAATAAATGTTTTCACGTATCTGTTTCCGACTATTTATTTGTAATATGCACATATATGAACATACATACATAGTAAGAAAATTGGCATTGTGTTTTGTAAATAATTTTGCCCCCTGTTTTCACCTTCATACATAAAACATACCTTTTCTACACTGTTAATATATGTCTAAAATGTAGTCATTAATGGCTAGAACAAATTTATTTGTTATAGAATTTATGTAACCTGTCACTAAAGAGGTTGGTTACATAGTTTGCATCTCATATTAATTGTCAGTAAAATGGTGCTGAACATCCTTGTTTTTAAATTTGTACATGTCTCTGATTCTCAGAAAGTGAATCTGTGAATGCTGAATGTTAATATCGTTTTGAATGTGTTTTGACAAATGCTTTCTATCAAGGGTTGTACCACTTTACTACCCATCACCATTATATTAAAAGTATCCCATTTCCCCAAGTGCTTTCTATTATTAATTTTTAGCTTTGCAAATTTCATAAGCACAAAATGTTACTTCATTGTTGCTCTAATTGTCTTTTGATTACCAGAAAGTTTTAACTTTGTCATATATCCGTGTGTCATTTGTAATTTCCATAATTTCTTTTTAAATTGCTCTATTAAGTAATTCTTTCTCAGCTTCAGCTTATGTCCTTCCAAATCCTCACACGCAGAGATCTTGCTGGACACGTGCACTCTCCCTAGTGCCACTCGCACTTGTTTGTTTCTCCCTCCCCCAGCATAGCATTTTGGATTTCAATGTTAATCTCCGGCGTACTTACTTACCCCATCAGGCCTCACTGTTTCTCTGCCTTCCAAGCTTAACGAGCCTAATGTTTCCAGCAAGAAACTCGGAAAATCCGCTCATGCCTTGTGGTTCTTTAATTTGCAAAAGTTAAGGCCATGCCATTTACGTAAAGAGAAAGTTACGTTAACACACACATGCAGGGCCTTGCACTGGAAACCAATCTGGAAAGCAGCTGACCTCACTTAAAATCGTTCTACTCCAAGTTATGACAATGACTATACTGAATCCCTTAGAATATTCCTTATTTTTCTCAGTCACAGTACATTACTTGTTACTTTCTTAATGTCAAGCCTCTTTTCCTCAGGATCTGCT